GTGCTTAGGGAGGCAGGACTTGCTGGAGCCTCGGTGCTTAGGGAGGCTGGACTTGCTGGAGCCTCAGTGCTTAGGGAGGCTGGACTTGCTGGAGCCTCAGTGCTTAGGGAGGCTGCACTTGCTGGTGCCTCAGTGCTTAGGGAGGCTCGATATGCCTCCTCCGCCTGTCAACGTGGCGCCTGACCCAGCAGCAGGCAGCCCTCTGCGGCCTCCTCGTGGAGGGTGGACTCCTAGTTCAGATAGGCCATCTGATGTTCTTTGGCCTTTAAACTCCTAGGAAATTAGTCACAGTCCACACTCCTTAAATAAGATAGTGGGGAAGGAGAACAGCACTCGGTGATTCCATGAATTACAGATACTGCAGTCTTTGGCTAATATGTATAAAGCAACGAGTAAAGTGCTGTAGTTGGTGTTTGTGTGCCTCTCCATTCCTTCACTGTCCTACCCTTGTCCAGAGCCTCAGCTCCTCCTGGCTCTGCTCTTCACTTGGGGCGCAGTGGCCTCCACACCTGCATCACACAGCCTGGGCACTGGAGATCTTCCTCCTGCCTCATGATCAGCACAAAGCTGCACCACTCCGTGAAGGTCAGAATCAGCCCCCACCCTGCAGAGCAGCCCTGGGTTTGCCTCTGAGGAGTCCAAATAGCTGGGTGGTGTCAACCTCCTGCAAAGAGGACACTTGTCTACAGCTTTCCACCCGCGGAATGAAGCTGAAGGATAGGAAGCAGTTTCACAATAATTTGTGAAAATTATTGTGGTAACAGTGAGGGACCCACCCCTCCCTGCCCCTGTACACCTGGACCTAGATTTCTGGCTGTGTAGGGTGCCACCCAACTCTGCTCATTGTTACTTGTCAGCAATGTCCATCCCTGTGTCCAGGCTTGCGTCCCCTGGTCTCTCATAGCCATTCCACCCTCCCATCAACCCTGTGATTGCTACTGACCTGTCTCCGTTTGGCTGGCTCAGCTGCAGGGCTTGCTGGGAAGGGGAACCTGGCCCGGGGTTTTACCCAGTGTGCCTGGATGATCCTTGCACATGACACCTTCAGTGAGGCCTCCAGCACCCTCTCATCAGGGCTAGACACACCCCCTGACCTGCTCTAGGTGACAAGGGTAGAAGAGCCACAGGCTCAGGCAAGGCTGAGTATTTATAGGTCACTTCAGACACTATGCCAACAGTTCCATTTGCAGAGCTATCCAGCTGCTACTCCTATCAGACTCCCAGCACCTGTCCCAAGGATAGTAAGGCTCTTCTGAATGAAACTGCTTCCTTCTGGAGGCCTTTGCTGTCCTGCCAGCAAGCTGGAGCCCTGCCCATCTTGGTACTCACCTCCTAGTGAGACCAGGGACCCACTTGACCCCTGGGTGCCCGCCCAGGTTAAGAGGGGGCAGAACATCTGTGCATTAGAATGCCTGGGTGCATGCAGCATGTCAGAGCTGCTTCACTGACCCTGATCACCAAAAGGCTGGAGTTCCTCTGGGAGAAACCAGGGGCAGTCCTGATTTCAGGTTTCTTTTGAGTCAGGATGAAGCCGCAGGGGACCTAGGGCGCAATGCTGAGTCCAGCAGCCAGGGGGCAATCCAGGCAGTCGCCCTGGTGGGGGTGGGGTTTCAGGTTGGGAGGGGCGTTGCTGGAGGCACCTATGGGCTTGCCTCTGCAGCTTACTGGTTTCCCAAGTCACATAGAGCTTCCAGCACCTGCAAGGTGTCCTGGTGGGCTGACTTCAGTAATCACCGTGTTTTGTCTCAGAAGACTTCCTGTGTTAGCACCTTATAAATGTGGTGTGGAGGCACGGCCCTGCCCAGCTAGGGAAGAGATAGAACAGCTCCTTTGGATTGGCAGGGTTGCCCCACTCCACCCTCCCAACGTGCAGAACCAGTTGTGGGGAGGTGACCAGGGCTCTCCAGGAGGGAAGGGATGAGTCCCCAACCCCTGCCCCCCGCCAGTCCAACTGGGGAGACTAGGGTGGCAGGATCCCATGCTCCATTGATGGCAAGAAGGGCAACAAGGGCCTGAAGACTTCCAGACCCAGGCCAACTAGCCAGGGTGGGGTCTGGAAGATGAGCCGAACTGACAGTGCCATCTAAAACAGTCTAATCCAGGGCTGTCACCTGGGCAGGGTGTTGGGACCCCAGGTAACTGGTCCCTGAAAGGCAGCAAAGAGTGATCCCACCTCAGTTCTCTTCCCTCTTGTCTTGGATCAGGACTGACCTCTGTGTCTCATTGACAGAGCCTTGGGGTTCCTGGAGTTTGGAGTGCTCCCCAGCTAAGAGGTCACATGGAGACCTGAGGAGCCACAGGAAATGTGAAGGGATGCCTCAGCGCTCACACCCCACATCTGGGAAGGGGTCTTTCCACCAGAGCGGCAGGAAGGGCCACGTTGGTTACAGGTTGAAAGACTGGGTCCAGACAGTTTGAGCACTACCTAGGAATGAACAGGCACACCTTGATCCAGCAGGAGAGAAAAGACACTCCAAGAACCTGCGTTCTCACACCCTTGTCCACAGCCAGTGCTGGGCACCAGGCAGACCCCACCAGGTGAGAAGGTCTCTGGGGAAAAGTGGCTGAGCAGCACAGAATGCAGTTTCAAAACAGTCTGCCCTCCAGCCAGGCCAGTGTTTAAGGCAGCCCGGCTTAAGAGAACTTTCCCTAACCATGGGAGCATTTCCCATCTGCTGTCCATTCCCTGACTGCAACACACAGGTAGACTCCGAAATATGGCTGTGTAAGTGACAGCTGTACTTAATTTAAATATAAACAGGCACACACGCAAGGGCTGTGGTACTTGCTAGCTCATCCTTGAAGCTCCTGGGCTCTATTAACACCGCGTGCCAGACACCAGCCAACTGTCTGACTCGCGAGTAGGTGGGTCGGGGACCACGAGAATCACTCCCAGGGCCTGCACCCAGAACAGACGGTCAGCGCCGAGTTCCCGACATTGCACTCCCCGGACACAGACCACACAAGCTACAACCCTCCCGGTACCCCAGGTGTTGCCCGGCTCAGCAGCCGCCGCTGCAGTAGCTGGCCGGCTACAAACTGAAAGAGCGGTGACCCCGCCTCCGGAGTCTCCCCTGCGCGGCCAGGTGGAAAGTGGAGAGCAGGGCTGGGGAGCGCGCACAGGTACCCCACGCGCCGGGGCCCCTAGCTCCCAACACAGTGCCCGGGATCACAGCGTCCTGGTTCCTGCGCCCTCTCCACTCAGCGCTCGGCGCCCCATGCCCGGCCCACCCCGCTGGCGCACAGGCCCGGGCCCCGCGCACAGCGCCCCCGGCGGCGGCCGAGCGGAGCCCGAGCGGGGCGGCGCACGGCGCGGGGCCGGGCCG